AGAAATAATTTGGAAACACACGAATTAGGCATCTACTGAACAGCCTGGCCACCAACATGGTGAAATCCCATCTCTACTAAAAATACAAAACAATTAGCCAGGCTTGGTGGTGTGCACCTGTAATCCCAGCGACTCTGGAGGCTGAGGCACGAGAATCACTCGAACCCAGGAGGCAGACGTTGCAGTGAGCAGAGATTGCGCCACTATATTCTAGCCTGGGTTACAGAATGAGACTGTCTCAAAAAAAGAAAAAAAAAAAGACCAAAACGAGAATGATGGTTGCCAGGGGCTGGGGGAGGGCGAATGGGAAGCTGATGTTTGATAGAGACAGGGTTTCAATTTGGGAAGATGAAAAGAGTTCTGGGAATATGTGATTGTGAGGATTGTACAACAATGTGAATGTATTTAATGCCACTGAATGGTACACTTAAAACTAGTTAAAATGATAAATTTTACATTATGTATATTTTACCAAAATTTAAAAATATACAACTTTTAAAAAGTAAAATAGAAAATATTAAAAATAAAAGCAGAAAACTAAGAATTACAAAACGCACCTGCAGAATTTGTTGATGGGAAGTATTAATCAGAAGGTGAACACACAGAACTCTAACACAGCAGCAAAGGAAATGGTAAGAAGGCCATTGGCAGGAAAAAAAGGAAATTTAGAAAGCAGTGCAAAATGCTACATGTGACGGCGGAGAGAAGACAAGAGTGTGGAACTGCAGCACGGCTGAAAGCGCGCGCTCCCGAGGCGGGCTGTGTGCAGACACGGGGGGTGTCTCGCCACAAAGAGTTTGAGAAAGAGTCTGTGGGCCGCATCCCCAGGGGCCATAACTTCGAGACCCCTTCCCCAACTCAAGACAAGCTATGGCATTAGAAGGTCAAACACAGATGGAGATGAAGTAAACAGTAATTAGAAAAGGAGCCATCCATGGTGAGGTCAGAAACACTCTGATGGACGGAAGGTCTACGGAGGCTGGGAAGGGTTTGTGCCACATAAAAAATGAAGGAATGAGAAAAAGTTAAATTATGTAAGTTACTTTCTGAGGTGTGCACCCCCGGAGGGCTCTGCTTAAAGCTTCTGTCAGTCATTTCTCCAACTCGCTGGGGTCCCCACGAGTGCACTGACCAGCTACATCTAACCCACCCGTGCTGCCTCAACTCGTTTGTCCCACAGGCTCCCAGGGCTGGGGAAGGGCTAAACCGTGTCTTGGGCCCAGCACTGGCTGGAGAAGCACATGCAACAACGGTGGCTTCTGCTGCGCTGGCCCACTGCTGTCACCTGGGAGGGCTGGGTCAGCACAGGGGACCCCCCAAGACCCTGAAGACAGGTCCCCAGACTGCAAAGTCTAAGGGTCCAGTGTCTAAAAATAAGAACCAGTAAAACTCATGGCAAGCTAAATCAATAGGCACAGGAGAAAGTAGAAATGCACACAATTACAAATGGAAAAAGGAGAAATAACCACAAATACAGAGGAAAGAAAACACTTGAAGTGCCTATATTGCAAAACTATGCAACTATGTTAAAAAGTGGACGGAATATTATTTTTAAAATGTAACTAAAATGGACTCTAGAAGGGTTTGAGGACCTAACCTGAGGAGCAAAAATCCAGAAATATACCACAGCAGGCCCAGACAGCCCCAGCTAGTTCTTCCACACTTAAGTAGAAAATAATTCAAAATCAATAGATGGTTGTAGAATAGAGAGGTTTTTGTTTTATAATATTTCTTTAAGTTAGCATAAAGTTAAATCAAATCTGGGCCAGGCGTGGTGGCTCATGCCTGTAATCCCAGCACTTTGGGAGGCCGAGGCGGGTGGATCACGAGGTCAGGAGATGGAGACCATCCTGGCTAACACTGTGAAAACCCAGTCTCCACTAAAAAATACAAAAAAATTAGCTCAGTGTGGTGGCATAGCCTGTAGTCCCAGCTCCTCAGGAGGCTGAGGCAGGAGAATGGCGTGAACCTGGGAGGCGGAGCTTGGAGTGAGCTGAGATCAGGCCACTGCACTCCAGCCTGGGTGACAGAGCGAGACTCCGTCTCAAAAAAAGAAAAAAGTTAAATCTGGGCAAAAAACACATAAAAGCAAGCTGTAGAATGATGAATCTTAATTATAAATATTGATAACCAAAATCATGGTACTAGTAAGTAAAGAACATCTCAGGAATACACTAATGATTTCGTCTTAAATATTCTATTAATATAATTAAACATACTGCTAGAGCAAAGGAAAAGACCTTCTGATAATCCCTCTGGACACTGAGAAGGCTTTGATAAAAATCTAACATCTATATTTTCCTCAGAGAGTCTTAATAGTTTGAGAACACACAGATACTTTTTTATTATGGCAAGGAAAATACATGTCTTCATACAAGTTAAACGTTGAGACATTACGACGTCCCACTGATGTCGAGAACAAGATAAGCATGCCACCTGAATCACTGACTCAACACTGATCTCAAATGCAACTAGATACAAGAAATAAGAGACACATTGGAAAGAAGTCAGAAGTAAATCTTAGACACAAGTAGGAATCACAGTTTGTGGTTGATTATAACATTCATACATAAAAACCAACTACTTTCTTATACATGGGATAAAATAGAAAATAAAGTGGAATAAATCATTCCATTGAAAATGGTAGCCAAATGATAAAACATCTGGAAATAAACAACTATAAATTCAAAGCACCTTCGTGAACAAAATCATAAAACACTACTAAGTTATATAAAATTAGACTTAAACACAAGATTTCGTGCTATTGAACAGGAAGACTCAGTCTGTAAATTCACTGTGACTCTAATTGAAAAAAAGATTCATATGAGAGAGAGACTCAGAGTTGAAGGAAGTGTTGACTTGAAAATACTGATATGAGTATGAATAATGCTTTAGAAATTAAAGGCATTCATAGAGATAAATAGAACAGAAATAGAACCAAACACTTAAAGAAATTTAGTTTACAAATAAGGCTGCATTTTGAACAGCTGGGGAAAACACTATGACTGGATTTTAGAAATGCATTATTACATAGTTATTGATACAACTGACCACCATTTGGAGGAAAAAGTATGGATTTTTCCCTCATTTCCTGCAATAAATGAATTCCAGGGAGTCCGAAGGTAAACAAATAAAACCATAAAGTTTCAGAAGAAAATGTGAGTAAGTTTATTTATCATCTCAGAATGAGGAAGGCTTTTAAAAACTGGAAACAAATCCCACAATTGACAAAGAAAAATACTGATAAATTGACAACATAAAAATTTAAACTCTATGCCAATAGATAAGGAAATCAATAAATAACATCCAAAGACAAATGATAAAAATATTTTAAAGGCATAAGACAAAAATGTCCCAAAGTACATGAGCAAATTAATTAAGAAAAAGCCAAATAACCCGTTTAGGAACTGGGTAAAATATATAAATGTATCCAAAGTAAAATTACAAAAAATTTGAAAAGATGTCCCATTTTATACACAATAAAATAAACCAAAATCAGAATAATATTCCTAAATATCATGTGTCACCAATTATATTGGGAAAAACATTAAGTTTGAAAATGCCCAGTGCTATTAGAGAAAGTTGAGAAATTGGGCCTTTTATTGTACTCTTGATGGAGTTACATCCATTGATCAGTTTCTAGAAGATGATCTGGCAATATCTATCAAAATTTTAAATACATGTAACCTTAAACCCAGTAATTTCATTTCTAAGTTGGAATTTATACCAAGTTTTAGTCACAAAACAATGTCAAGATATATGTACAAGTATGCCAATTATAGATTTGTATATAAAAATAAAAACTGGAAATATCCATATGTTCGCCAATAAAAGGCTGTTCAAATAAATGATAGTCCACTGAGACAATGGAACGCTAAGCAGCTACTAGGAGGCATGAGGTAGATCTTTATGTGTTACTATGGGACGACCTCTAAGACAAAACCATGTGAAGAATGCAAGGTGCAGCGCACTTCCCAGAGCGCTAGTGCTGGAAAGGGAAGGTCTCTTCATAACCCCCGTTCCTCCTCCTTTGGCCTCTTATCTTCTTTTCTTCCTTTCTAGAAATGCCCTTAGAAGCTCATTCGTGGTCCCCTCTGAGAGAGAAAACAGGGAGTATGGGAGGCTGTTGTTTTTAATACTTTTCTAACTATGCACACATCTATTTCTTATTATTACTTTATTAAATGACAGAGTAGTTATTTGAGGGGCCAAAATATGCACAACTTTTGTTTGCATTTTATATGTTCCTGTATAAAATACAAAACCAAAAAGGTTTCTTTTTAAAAGCAAAACTGTGGAAGGGATCATTTTTGGGATAATGACAAGAAATGAAGCATTCCTTTTCTGTATCAAAACACTTCTTGTTTCTAAAGACACTGTAACAGGAAAAACAAAAACAAAAACAAAAACAAATGACAATCTTGTGCATGGTTCATCCATAGCACGTGGATGGAGTGCCTGCTGAGGAAGATCCTACTCCAAAGCCGCCTTAGGCTGGAATGTCCTGATTCACCAACTTTCTTGTAAGTGAGGTCTCTTCTCTTGTCACACACACAGGTACCTCACACTTAAACACACACACACACCGAACACACACAAGCGTCCATCTTCCTCCACTGCAAAGTCATGTGCATTACCCAGAAATGAGTGGGCCAGATGGCTGGAAAAACACATACAATTTATTTAATTCTCAAAATCAAATCTTCCTCATGATGTTCCCATCTCAGGGATTAGAAGCAAATTAAAAATCTCTAGGGGCTCAGATGCCTTCTACAGTTTTGAGCTCTGAGCAGTTGTTGGATGGCACAATGGAACAGAAGAGGTCTTTCTTGGTGAATTACCCTCTGATCTCATTAAAGAATAAGAATGAGACCATCCAGGCTAACACGATGAAATCCTATCTCTACTAAAAATACAAAAAATTAGCCAGGCGCGGTGTCGGGTGTCTGTATTCCCAGCTACTGGGGGAGGCTGAGGCAGGAGAACCGCGTGAACCCAGGAGGTAGAGCTGGCAGTAAGCCAAGATCGCGCCACTGCACTCCAGCCTGGGTGACAATCTAAGGGAAGAGCTGCATCATCGCTTAGGTTTAAAAATGAAGGTTTCTCTTGTTTTCAAGTTGCCCACCTCCAGTGAATCCACCCAAGGACTCTGAGCCAGCTTTCAGGGCTGCAGCTGCGGTGGACGGGCTTGGAGCAGGCAGACTCCCAAAAGTCAGAACCCAGACTTGCTGGCTTGTCAGTCACTGAGGGTCTGCCAGTTCTTCCCTGCTGCCTGCCACTGGCCAGGTATCCAGAGAAGGGATGGGCCACACCATCCCCTCCCTGGCGCCTGCCATACTGGGGACTAGAAGAGTTCCCAGCCCCTACTTCCTAGCCCTGACACATGCAGAAAGGGCCTAGGAATATGTTCATTTTATGTTGTGCATTTGTAGGCACGCACACATTTCTAAGACTAATTAAGTCCAGTGCATGTGAATCAGCTAACACATTTTTGTTTTTAAAGCCCACATAAATGGCTTCACTTAGCTTTAGCTATTCTTTTGGGCTGTTAATTCTACTAGAACTCTATTTGTCCTGTGGGTTCTGCAGAATAGAACAGATTTGCTCAACTCCTCAGTCTCTGAGAGCAGCGCCTAGGAGTTACCTGGGATCCACCAGAGACACTCATGGGGCCTGACCCTTGTACAGAACAAACAGAAACCTATGTCCCTTTGATTTCCTTGACAGGGTAGGTTTGCGGAAGTCAGGAAGGCTGGTAAAAAGATCCTTAGTAAGACCAACATTGTCTTTTTTTTTTTTTTTTAACGTACGAACAGCATAAAGCTGCTTCTGTCTACCAACTGTCTCTGATAGAAAAAAATAACTTGAAGAAAAGCTAACAGAGAGTGTTTCAGTTTTAGTTTTTTGTTTTCCTTCCACCAGTAAATTATTGGAATGGATTTAGTGAGTCTGGTTTATTTTAGCTTCAATCTAGGTTTGTACACAAGCAAAAAGCAAATGTTGAATTTTCAGGTAGACCTTCATGGCAAGTGGCATGCAGACATGCAAAACCAACTGTCCCGGGGTGAGGAGCCACTGGGAGCTCTCTGAAGGGCTTTCCAGGCAGTGGGCTAATGGGCAAAATGACTTCTCAGTGGCCCTGCTGACCGACAGTGCGGATGTGCCAAGGGGATCTATCAGCCCACCTGAGCCTATTAAACTGAGTGCTGAGATCCTACTACCTAAAGTAATGAGGAAACCGTGAGCAACACGACTGACAGCCAGAAGGGAACATCGGAGTTGTGGCGTTTAATGTTGTCCTGGATTAGCACCCCAAAATCTCGCCAAGCCAAAGGCCTTGCCCATCTGTGAGTTTTCCACATGTACAGAACCAGGCGTGGTTACGCAAAGTCTTTGGACACGGCCTCCACGAAGTTGGGAGCCGACATCAGGATGCCGATGGTGCAGATGATGGTGAAGACCGAGAAGGCCATGAGGCACAGGCGGTCCACCACGCAGGCGGCGAACTTCCACTCGCTGCAGACCGCCTCGCTTTCGTCCTGGCAGCGAAAGCGGTTGGCGATGTAGCGGACCTCCTCCAGGATCTTGGCCAGGTCCGGGTCCCCCTCGGGGGGCTGCCCACCGTGCAGAAGGTGCTCGTCGTGCGTGGGGGAGCAGGCCATGCGGCCGCACACCACCCCGGAGTCGGGGGTCGGGGCGCAATGCATGCCGTCCAGGCCGCGGAAGCCGATGTACAGCAGGTTCCCGTTGCTGGCGGGCGGCGGCGCCACGGCGCTCATCTCCACGCTGGCCAGGCTGCAGCGACGCTGCTTATGCTGGCAGGCCGGGCGCACCTTATCCTCTCCGGGCCTCTTCATGCGCAGGAACCATGCGCACCAGTTCAGAAGGATGACTCTGGTCTGGGGAGACAACAGAACGTTAGGAGCGGCCCCCAGGCAGGCTTCGGCTGATCCCAACAGCCGTGAGATCCTACAATACAAGCCCTGCTTCACTGGTCCTGGGGGTAGCAGGCTCCACTGCCTCCCGCATGATTTTAGCAGGCGAGCAGTGCCTGCTCATGACAAGCAGTTGAGTTCAAAGTGAGGCGAGACTAAAACTGATGCACCCTGGGAAGAAGCTAAATTGTTCTCCGGGGCAGGCACACTGCAATCTCAGGGAAGACAGCCTCGTGGAAGGGGAACGCTATGTGAGCTGTGTCAAGAGGGAAAGTCGATTTCCCTCTCTGATCCTTCCTCATCTGTAACCTGGGGACCTTCAGACCTAACTGTGGCTCCCACACTACCTGTTAGGTGTCCTGCAAGGCCACTGCAAATAGGCAAAGAGTGCCTGGGCGGCTGTAAATGTTCAAAGGCAACCCCAGGACATCCATGAGACACCAGGTGAACTTGAAGCTTGAAGCAGTTCAGGCTTCCAACATCAGATTACCACATCTCTTGTGATGATGTGAACACTTTGCAAAGCTGTTTTTCAAAGTACCCTGATAAAAAGCAAATACCAAGGAACTTCCTGTGAAACGGAAACTAGGTTAGTGGTCTCCAATCTGATCCCAAGATTTGAGAGGCGGTGCTGTGCCCCAGAGGTGCTACATTGTTAAGGCATGAAAACTTATTAAAGTCTTTTGATCTATTTAAAGACAGCCTAGGGTATTATTTCTTTTGGCCAGGGGCTCTGTGAAAAATTTCCGGAGACACTAAAGTGCTGTGAACCACGGAAGTGTCGGAACCTCTAACCTAACTCAGTGGGCTTCAGTGAAGACTGAATAAGATGATGTCTGGGAGAGGACTTTGAAAAGTGGAAGGTGGAAGTTGGCAAACTTTCTGTAAAGGGCCAGGCAACTACTCACTTCTGCTGATGTAGCACACATTGAAGGCGTCAAATGGATGGGCATGTTTTCTAAAATAACTTACTTACAAAAACACTTGGTGGACTGGATTTGGCCACCCAGGCCATAGTTTGCTAACTTCCGGTCTAAAGCGTGTCCTAGAATGCACAAAAGAAGCTGGAGAAAAATCACCCCATGGAGTTCATCCTGGTTTTGCCTCTCATGGAAAGAAGAGAGACATCCAAAGCCTCAATCCAGGTAAAGCAGCATTCTTGCAAGCCCATCCAGGTAAGTGTGTGAAAAATGGGCCCTTTCCCTGAAATTATCCAGATCCTGATTTCATTTACATTTTGTTTTATGATTGTGGGGAAATTCCATCAGTAACCTAGCAGGTAGATTTCCTATCTTTAGGAAATATACAGATAGTAAATTGTGCAGTTCGTATCTACAGAGCTTTCATTCCTGGTAATCTTTTTATAACATCTTATCAAAGATAACGGCAACAAACAGGTCTGGGGACAAGAACAGGGAAGCATAAGACCAGTTTCATTGCAGCTATAAAAATAACCCTTCGTTTCCCATTGTACTTGACAAGCAGGCGGCACTCTGCATGTCCTGGAAAGGTTGGGTCTGCTCACCTCAGAGGGTTTTTTATGATCAGTAAGGAGCAGGGACATATGGCCCCATGTGAAACCTTGGGTGAGTTGGGCCCTCCATACGAGGCTCATGAGACAAGTCATCTCACTTGGGCCTTTCAGGGTCCTGTGAAAGGAGTATAATCCCCCCACTTTATAGACCAACAAACTGAGGTTCAAAGAGGCTAATAAACTGGCCCAAGGACATACAATGAGTAAGTAAGTGGTTATGTCACTTCACATGTTTAGCCTTTCCCAGCCTCATCTGTCAAAGGGTCTACAAGATTCTCTTCAAAACTTGTGCAACCCCACCCCTCTGGGAAGGCACCAGAAAGCCTGAGCCAGCTCTCTCGGGGGCTGCAGGGCAGTGAGTGTGCCTGCATGCACTGGCAGCAGTGCACATGGGGAGCGAGCAGCACCAGGCACTTCTCCCTCCATGCAGGGTCTACACGTACCCCAGTGCACATCTCAAGCTCATACGATACACACTGCCAAGTCTACTTTGAATTCCATGGCCTGAATCATTAGCTTTCAAAGCCAAAGCATTTAAAAGATAAAATTATCCTCTTGGCACTCCTCAAACTGTGCTCTTGACCTCTTCTGTTAGGTTACAGTTTTGTTTCTGGCTGTGCAAATGTCACATAATGCCACCGCACCCGGCAGTATCTTCTTCATGGCAACAGATCATAATAAAAGTCCCTCAGAGGCTGTTTGTGTTTCACATACACATGGAATGAAGGAAAAATGCAGTGTGCTATATAAAGCGAGAGAAATGCATAAGGTTCATCTTTCATTTGCAGCCAACTGGTTTTAATAAGCTTTTATGCTGAGAGGTGAATAATTAGCATATGTTCTTAATTAAGATTGTTCTAGAGCAGTAGAGTGCTACAGGTCATTAAAAATGGTTTCGTGTCTCAATGTCTTAATTTTCTTACCTTCTCATCAGTCAAAATACAAGAAATGAGAATAGGTGTTTAGATTTTTGTATTTGCATAAATAAATACTGGAAGGAAAAAGAAGGAATTCATTACAGTGGTTATATACCAATCGGTATTGGTGGTAGATGCAGGGTAAGGGGAAGGAATGGGAGCAGGATTTCCTTATGTATAATTCTAATTTTATTTAGACTTTAGAAACAGGTAAATGGATTACCTGCTTCAAACTGATGGATGGATAGGTAGAAAGAGCAGTAAACCAGCAAGCCCCCAGCTCTCAGGCCTCCCACCTCTGGCCTTGCATTTTCTTAAGTGTGTCAGGGTTATAAGGAAATCAGACAAAAATACAGGTGAATGTGTGCAAATGTACCCCGGTGTTTTAAGCGGGGCGGGGGGGGCGCTTACAAAACAAGCCTCAGGGAACATAGTGATGTGGTCTGTGTGTGCGATGTCACCATGTAGGCTAAGCTCACATTACTGCTGCTGGTGTAATGAGCTACAAGTGAGTCCTTCTTTTTTTTTTTTTTTAGAGATGGGGTTTTGCTCTGTCACCCGGGCTGGAGGGCAATGACATCATCATAGCTCACTGGAGCCTGGAGCTCCTGGGCTCACATGATGCTCCCACCTCAGCCTCCCAGGTAGCTGGGACTACAGGCACACACCACTATGAGAGGCTCACAAGTAAGTCTTCACTAAAGAGTGTATAAGGGGAATGGGCCATGCAGGTGCAACTCTGAGAAGAAACAGTAATTTTGTAAAGCATTTCTTAAGAAGTAGTCTTTGCTAAGCGAGCATTCAGGTAACTAAACTACTGTACAATGAAATGTTTCAGGAGGCCCAGCAATCCCCTATTCCTGGAGGGTCACCTGATGGCATCTCACCCCTACAGCTGCTTTTAGCTTGTTGTTGATTCCTAGATTCCCTTCTGAACTGGGACACAAGTGCTCTCCAAAGACAGGCTGCTTTTGGGATGTGAGGGCCTTTTTAGCTCCCCAAATCCTTAGGCCAGGCTCTCTAGACAGGAGGACAGGGAAGATTTACAAAGCCCACATGAAGCGGGGAAGCAGCTCAGGCCCTCCCTAGGTCCTCATCAAGGTGTCCTGACTGCCAGGTGAGGGTGGCTGCAGAGCTCCGGACACCAGACCCTGCAGGAGAGGATCCCTGGGTGGGCGAGCATCCGCAGACGTGGCCGGGCACGGTGCCAGCAGCTGGGGCAGGACTGGTATGGCCCAGGCTAAGCTGACAGGCTGTGGGATGCAATCCTTTGTTTTCATGCATTTCCTTTTATCCCGTCCCCCTTCCCCACTGGTGACAATTAGTCTTTGTTTTATAGACTTCTGGTTGGATGATATCCCTATATGTACTGAACACACAGATTTGTACATGGTTCGTTCTGTTTCTTACTCTTTTCGCTCCTCATTCTGTTGTGAAGCCCCAACCATGTTGCTACACGTCTGTCTCATCTGTTGCTTCCAACTGCAGCACAGTGCTTGACAGCATGCATCAAAAAAAACTACCTTCTCAAAACACCGTGCTGATAGAACACACAGGGCAGCCAGTTTGAGAGCCTTACTCCGCAGCGTCACATTAGACAGCCGTGCCACAGGGCATCCGGGAATACGCGCACCATGACTGCACGCTACGCAAAGACACGTCAATAGGTGACGAAATACAAAAACAAAGCTATTTCTGGCTGGGCACGATGGCTCACGCCTGTAAATCCCAGCATTTTGGGAGGCTGACGTGGGCGGATCACAAGGTCGAGTTCGAGACCAGCTTGGCCAACATAGTGAAACCCCATCTCTACCAAAAATACAAAAAAAAAAATTGGCCAGGCGTGGTGGCATGTGCCTGTAGTCCCAGCTATTTGGGAGGCTGAGGCAGGAGAATCGCTTCAACCCAGGAGGTACAAGTTGCAGTGAGCCGAGATTACACCACACTGCACTCCAGCCTGGGTGACACAGTGAGACTCTGTCTCAAAAAACAAACAACCCAAAGCTATTTCTTTAGGAATGCCCGTTTTTTGTGCAATTTTTGAAATAGATAAACCCTAGGAGGAGCCTCCTTTAGGGAGGGGCTCCGACTCTGTCGGGGGTGGGAGGAACATACCCACTTGGGCATCTTGCCCCCGTCGGGGTCGTGGTGGTGGTACTGCAGCACGATCACCGTCACCACCACCGAGAGGCCCACGATGATCATGGTGCTGGCGAAGTACTGGGCTGTGGGGAGAACAGATGCAGGGTGAGACGCGGCGCTCCTGCGGCACTGAACATCACAGGACACGCACACCCTGACCAGGTTCTCTGACCGTCAGGGCCTCAGGATGCAGTGATGCCACGGGCGGGGCAGATGGCCTCCTGTCACCAGCCAGGCCTGCAGCCCACATTCTGGGTGCGCAAAACCAGTCAGCGTGGTCTGACTTCCCACCCACGGAGTGGCCTTCCCTCACTTCACTGCACTTCCATGCACTCTGGCCTCCCTGTCAGTCAATAAGAGCTAGCATCGCCTGACAGGATGGTGATAAGGTTGTTCCTGTGAGTAAATACTGGATGTCAGGGCATGGGAACCATCCAGTGTTTATGATGCAGGCCTCTACTGTGCTCCAGGGGCACAATGAGGGCAAACCTGCACACCACCTGGCTGCCAACTGTCCAGCCTGAGGAAGGGGTCAGTGGCAGGGACTTTTCAGGACGAGAACTTCAGTCTCAGCTTTGGCTCTAACGGGCCATGCGTGTCCTTCCACCTGGGCCCAGGTGAGCAGCAGCATGGAGCATCTGAGTGCTTCCACCCTGGTCCACTAGCTACTGGTTGTGAGTTTGGAGTGAATGCTCAGCCTCTTTGGGCCTCAGCTCTTCAATGGGGGTGGTGCAAAGGATGACGTTTGCGTCTCCCAACAAAGTTCATGTGTTAAAACCCTAGTCCTAACTGGGATGGTATCTGGAGGTGGGGCTTTGGGACGTATGAGATTGTGATTTATAGTAAGAAATATGTATTTGGTCTTCCATTTCCTGGCACACAGCTCCTAAAACCTTTGAATCTCTGAAGTCATCAGTGTCTTTTTATATGCTAATAAGATGACTTATGGCTGAAGTTCCTGGATACCCTCAGGATGGGGTTTGGTTGCCAGGGGAACCAGTCAAGTAATTAGAGAGTTGGAACCTTCAAGCCCTGTCCCCTCTCCCAACCCTTGACCCCTGGGGAGGAAAGACGTACTGAGGGTTGAGTTGGTCACCAGTGGCCAATGATGTAATCAATCATTCTGACGTAGTGAAGCCTCCATAAAAACCCAAAAGGATGGAGTTCTTTGGAGACCTTCCCAGTACTGAACATGTGGAGGTGTCTGGAGGGTGATGTGCCCAGAGAGGGCATGGAAGTTCCATGCCCCTTCTCAAATACCTTGCCCTGTGCATTTCTTTCATCTGATTGTTCATCTGTACTTTATAATTAGTGAATAAGTATAAGTAAAGTGTTTCCCTGAGTTTACTAAAGTGAGCCACTCTAGTAAATGGCTGAACTCAAAGATGTGCTTTTGGGAACTCCCTGATTTATAGAGTTGGTCAGAAGCATGAGAAGCCGGAAGTTCTAACTGGCATCTCAAGTGGAAATGGTCTTGTGAGCCTTAATCTGTGAGTGCTGTGCTAACTCCAGGTGGCGTCAGGACTGAAGTGAACTAGCTGTAGGACACCCAGCTGGTTTCCAAGAATTGGTCGATGTGGGAGAAACGCCCCCCTTTGGTGTGAGAAGTGTTGTGTAAGTAGAGAAATGGTGAGTGATTTTCTCAGGGTCCTTGAAGAGGTCCTGAGGGTGCAGCCCTCATGGATGGGATTAGAGTCCTTCCTGAAAAGAGGCTAAAGAGCTAATTCACTCTCTTTTTGTCCCGTGAGGCCACAACGAGAAGAGGGTCATCTGTAAACCAGGGAGTGGTCCCTCACCCGAGCCCTGCTGGCACCCTTTTCTAGGACTTGCAGCCTTGCAGAACTGTGAGAAATAAATGTCTGTTGTTCAGGCCCCCAGTCTACAGCAATTTGTTATGGTGGCCTCCATTAAAATAGAAACCCCTTCCTTGCAGCATTTGTGCAGTGATGAGCAATTACACAGGCCAAGATGTCTAGGAGAAAGGAGGCGGCGTTCTTTAGTGGGCAGCTCTGATCATTAAACCTTTGGTGTGGCTGTCTGCTCAAGAGGCTGAGCTCTAAGCAGCAAGCATCAGGGTGCAGGAGGCTAAGCGTTCAGCTAGCCCTCACTGGTCCTCACGCCGGGAAGGAACTCGCTGCCTTCCTACAAAGACCAAGAGGTACCTGGGAGGAGCTTTGCCAGAGGTGGAAGTTCAAGACCTCAAGTTAGCGTCAGGGCTCCTGAGAAAAGGAAGGAGGCTGCAGCAAACCATGACCCTTATGAGCTGAATTGTGCTTCCCCCTGGAATTCACATGTTGAAGCCCTAACCCCTAGTACCCTAGGATGTGACTGGACTTGGAGATAGTGTCCCTAAGGAGGTAATTAAGTACCATTAGGTCAAGTCCTAATCCAATCTGACTGGTGTTCTTTTAATGAAGAAGAGGAAATGTGGCTACACAGAGAGATACCAGGGATGCAGGTGCACAGAGGAACGACCAGGGGAGGACAAAGCATGGTGAAAGTGGCTGTCTGCAAGCCCGGGGGAGGCGTCGCAGGATAAACCATCCCTGATGGCCCCTTGGACTTCCAGCAGTGCAACCGTGAGAAAAGAAATTTCTGTGATTTAAGCCCCCAAGTATTTTGTCATGGCAGCCTGAGCAGACCAACCACCTATGGAGAGACGGGGGTCAAAGGATTGCTCAGACTGAAATTCCATCAACAGAGGGAAGCAAAGCTGATGTCCCTGGGGCCACTAGCATCCCATCCTTCTAGATGTGGGCTATGCACCAACCAAGCCTTTCCCAGCAGGTAATCAGTCCAGAGAGGGCCTGACAACTGTCCCAGGAGGGGTGGCTGCAAATCTCTACTGAAAGCAGTATGCTGGAAGGTAGAAAGAATGGAGTCAGAACCGGGTGGAGAGGTGGTTCTTCCCTGTCTGATGGTATCAAGAGAAAAATGATACCCACAAAGGCTTTTCATACCAACAGTTTCTCTGGCCAAAATACTGCACATACAGGGAGTTCCCAAAAGAAGGGCCTTGGCTGCTTGGTTCCCAAAGCCTGGGGGTATCCAGGTAGGGCTCTCCCTCTAGCCCACCCCCAGGCAGACACACAGCGTGGGTCCTCAAACAGCGGGCCAGCAGGTGTAATGCGTCTGTATACCTCCTTCCGACCTTCACTGCCCAATGGGAGTGGAGACTCTAGTTTTTGTTGTCCCTCCTTGGGCAGAGGGTCATGCCTTATACCTGTGCAAAATATATTTCTCTCATTCATATTTCCCTAAACACTTTTATTTTATACGGAAACATCGAGTTATCTCAGGACACAATAAACGTGTGCTTCTCCCATTTTAACAAAGGCTTTTTGGGTAAACAACATCTTAAGCTAAGACGATGCATCTCTAATGATAAAATATCTGGTTTCAAAGCAAGCATGAGGAGGAGAATTATGAGGGGAAGGGAGGCATTTCTGCAAGTTAAAAGTCAAACCTCAAAGCTGAATATCCCCTTCCCCTTACTTGGGCCCAGGTGACTCTGAATAGTTACAGCAAATCATCACCTTCCAGAGAAAATGGGGGCAGTGCAGCCCTATTTCTTCTCGTTTCATCTGCTGGGAAATCCTGGGCACACCCTAACCCCATATCTCTGAGAGAGGAGCCCGACTCTTGCCTTACCTATCAATGGTACTGAATCAGATGTTGCAGGCATGATCTCAGCCACGAGCAGCATGAAGACGGTGAGAGAGAGTAAGACTGTTATCCCTAAAACATAAACACACAGCGGTTCCTCAGACAAAACAGACAAGAACGCCTCAATTCTATCCAACGAGGGCTCCTAACCTGACACTCAAAGAACGAGGGATGGTGGTGCTGGGGGATGCTGTGGAATGCACATTTTGGGCGTGTGCATTTTCCAGGGGACATTCTATGCCACTTACCAGAGTCCCAAAGGAGTCTCTTATGGAGACAAGTTTAGGACCCAGAATTTTAAAAGCATCAACACAAACTGAAAAATTTAACTTAGCACAATTATCTCTCATATTTTTTGTAAACTATTATTGAGAAGTAGTTTCACGTAGCAGGAAAAAGAAAATATGCAGTCAGGAGACCTGGTTTCAGGTCTTAAGTCTGCTACTCAGCTAGCTATGTGACCTTAGATATAACATTCAACCTTTCTGAACCTCATACTCAGAAGATATGGGTTTGGGAATAATTTCTACTATGTGCTACATCTGATGTTTAGTAACTCTTTAAGATATTGAGAAACTCATCCCACCATTCGAAATCTTGGTTTTCTTAAACTTCGATATGGGGGTGATCATAAGAATACACTGTGTACGCAAACATACCAAATGCAAGCTGATATGCGAACAGCCATCAAAGGAACCAGGGTGTGCGGAAGGAAGGAAGCACAGGCCCCTTAAGGCAGATCTTGGAGGGCCTGGCGCCCTCCCGTGCATCCCCCCATCCTCTGAGGTCCTCCAGTATTTTCTAGGATTCACACAGCCGTCGCGGCGACGGAGCCCGAGTCAAGGGACCTCCGGTGTCCTGGAGACCACCCCGGGCTAGGAGTCTGTGTGCAATGGAGCCAGGTAATCCCCGGAACCACTGATGAAGATCCTGCCACTCGTCTGTGTGAGCCCTCCCAGACCGACCTCAGCAGAGGGCCCCAGTCTCAGCAGACCGGGTGCATCTACCCAGGAATCGTCTCCCGCGAATCTGCCAGGAAGCGACCCAAGCAGGGCAAGGGCAGAGATGAGCACACACAGCGGGCTTCCAGCAGGCTTGAGGCCGTAGTAGAGGGTCCTGCGGCTGCTATGTCCACCTCGTGAAGGTTGACATCGGGGTTAGGACCTTTGCAGCACTGTTCTATATATAGAACTTTCCACTCCTTCTTGCCGGGAATTTCCTCCATAGGGAAGGAGGAGAGAAGGAGCCCATGGTTAGAATAGTAATTATTATA